TGGATTGAATTGGATAACGTTGGAGATCGTAGATTGAGAGATTTGAAAGTTGAGGATTTATTAATTGAATTATATTGGATAAGGTTGAATAAAATCGTAGATTGAGAGAGATATAAGTTGAGGATTTTGGATTGAATTGGATAACGTTGGAGATGATTGAGAGATGAGATTGAAAGATATGTAAGTTGAGGATTTGGAATGCAATGTGGAAAGGGATATAAAGTATGGTGTGGTTGTTGGATATGGCAGGCAGAGAATTAAGTGGATGGTTACGTAGAGTTGTGAAAGGGTTTGATTAGATCGTGTGATTGGTGAACTACGAATGTTTATAAATGAAGTAGTTTACTGCAGTATAATCTTTGATATATGTATGGTTATTTATCATTATTTATTAATAATAAAGGTAAAATTTGAATGGAAGATTTAGAGATGAAATGAAAGGAAATATGTGAAGTGTAATACACGTTATGGAAGATTGAATAATAATTAGAGATCAATAAATTTTTTGATGAATGTTAAGGAAAATTTCAAGATGCCAAATTATTATTCTTATTGAATAAATCTTCTTTGATTGAAAACTTCATATATTTATTTCCAATTCTCCTATATTTTTTGAAAAGCAAACTTTATGTTCTTATTTCTGATTAATTATAATATTAATTGAATTTAAAAAACAAAACTCTACATTATTTTAAATTAATCACAATAATTAAACATCCATAAATATTCTTTTCCAATCAAAAATTTAACTCCATATTTTTATTTCACAATTAATCACAGTAATAATTCTCCTCCAATTAAAAACTCCATATTATTTCCAATCAATTGAATCAAAAATATCCTCCTCCATTTTTAAAAATCAAACTGTATGTTTTTATTTCCAATTAATTGAATCTCCAAAAATATCCTCCACCATTTCTAGAAACCAAACTCCATCTTTCTAATTAATTACAACATCAATTGAATCTAAAAACGAAACTCCACATCCTTATATCAAATTAATCACAACAATTAAATTTCCAAAAATATCCTTCCCAATTGAAAACAAACTTCGCATCCCTATTTTCAATTAATTGAATCTTCAAAAGTATCCTCCTCCAATTCCACAAAAAAAAAGAATAAACCAAATTCCACACCTTTATTATTCCAACTAAATTCATCTCAAAAAAAAAAAAAAAAAAAAAAAGAAATTAGATCTCTAAAAATATTCTTCTTCAATTCTAAAAAAAAAAAAACTCCACATTTTCATTTCAAATTAATCACAACAACAATCCAATCTCCTCCAATTCCACAAACAAAAACTAAAAAACTTATCTTAAAAAGAAAAAAAAATTAAATCTCTAAAAGTATTCTCCTTCAATTCCACAAAAAAAAAAAAAATAAATCAAACTCCACATCTTTATTATTCCAACTAAACTCATCTCAAAAAAAAAAAAAAAAATTGAATCTCCAAAAGTATCCTCTTCCAATTTTAAAAAAAAATCAAAACTCCACATCCTCATTTCAAATTAATCGCAACAACAATCCAATCTCCAAAACTATTCTCCAATTCCAAAAAAAACCAAACTCCACATGTTTATTACTCCAACTAAACTCATCTCAAAAAAAAAAAAAAATTAGATCTTCAAAAGTATCCTCCTCCAATTCCACAAAAAAGAAAGAATAAACCAAACTCCACACCTTTATTATTCAAAAAAAAAAAAAAAATTGAATCTCCAAAAGTATCCTCCTTCAATTTTAAAAAAAAACCAAAACTCCACATCTTCATTTCAAATTAATCGCAACAACAATCCAATCTCCTCCAATTTCAAAAATAAACCAAACTCCACACTTTATTATTCCAATTAAATTCATCTTAAAAAAAAAAAAATCAGATCTCCAAAACTATTTTCCTCCAATTCCAAAAAAACCCAAACTCCA